ACAATTGCGTGTAATACTATGAAATTAATACTTAGCATTACTTTTATGACATGCATGTAAATATTACATGAAATGTCTCAATGCAGGAAAAAACAGCATTATTTTTTTATTAAGCATTCATTTTGTTGAGCCCGGGCTTATTTGATGAATATTTTATGAATGCTGGTATTGCTCATAAGAACACAGCTCATAAGCACAGTATTTTTACAATGTTAGGTATAATATTGTTATGTTTAACAATGATATAGCCCAATATTGTTAAAATATTAATATTAGAATAATAATATGTTAGTAATTGCATAACATAACATTGTGCAATTTTAACTACATTATTCATTTATATATTATATTTTAACATTATAATTTGACAATAAAGCTTCCAGTATATTGGCGAATCTTTAAAGTGTTATTTTCAAAGTTTTTCAGGAATAGTCGAAAAAAAGTATTTTTTTATTAGATTTCATTTAAAAAAGTTTAAAAATTTTTGGTAATCTCCACAAATTAATTAATGGTAAATTTTATAACAATAATTACTATATTCGTTTTTCTAGTTTAATCACTTTGAGGATTCATATAAAGAATAATGAATGAATTTGTCTAATTTTTTTTTGAAGAAAATAAAGCGTCACATATTTATTTATTTATTTAATCATTTATTTTTGACAAGGAACCATGTAATTAGATTACGCCATTCTACTGACATTCTACTGTACAAAGTTTGTAAGAAATATCTAAAAAAGTGTTCTTAAATTTCATTATTTATATGAACACATGCATAATTTCAAGCATATACTTATTTATAATAATTACATTTTAAAAAGCATTCCATAGTTAACCATTCAAACACTTCGAACAAAATTTGTGTATATATTTATGTATTTTAAAAAGAATTTGTGATTCAGGTGGGAATTTACAAAAAAAAAAGAGAGAAAGAAAGAAAGGAAAGAAAAGAAAGAAAGAAGGAAAGGAAGAAGGAATGGAAGATAGAAAGAAGAAAGAAAAAACTGTTTAAAATTCTGATTACGAAAAAAGAAACAATCAGACGGTATCTTCACCTTATTTATGTTCTTTTTTTGCAGTAGTTCATTAAATGTTTGAATTTCAAAACTTTATATTAAAAATGCTTCGAATTTGATAAAATTTGACCAATTAGTGACCCACTTCATCAGGCCAATTTATTACTCCATATTTGTCGTATGTAATTTAATAATGATCAAATGGTCACCCTACTTTTATGCTAGTTGGAAACCAACTGTACAAACTTTCTTCAAGGATTTGAATTACTATTTACATTACTGCTCATCAAGGCTAACTAAACTGATTCAACTCGATAAAATGAATTTCAATATCCGCGTGAAATTTCCTTTCTTTGCCCTTTGATTTATGTAAATAATTTTAAACGGACGATTTTGGCAATTTAAATCTACTGTTCTTGAAGTTGCAATGCGCATAGTTACAGTCTTGAAAAACTAGAATTAATAATGACACAAGCTTAGTTATTTGAGAACTCCTGCCTTTATGGAAGGAAACATATCCACCTTCGTTTCGATCAGCTGTTTAAACACTTGCTGTTACTAGCCTTTGTTGTATTGGGCATGCGGAACGAAGGGTCGGAGATATGTGAAAGCCCAGGAAGTAAAGACGTTTTACAGATATCATCCCTCATCTCTCAGTTTGGCGATCGTGAAAATTGCCAAATTTTAGAAAGATGATTTTACATTTCTAGATTTAAATAATGTGTGGTGGTGGCAATACATGAGAATACTTTTACTTTTGCTACTTGTAACGAAGGTACAAGTAAAAAGTACATACTTTTACTTGTACTTCATTATTTTCTTAAATTTAGTATTTTCACTTCTTTTTCGTTACTTTTATTTAGAAAAAGTTCAAATGTTTGTAACGAAAATATCAAAAGAAAATATTACTTTTTTCGGACATTTTTTTAAAAATTTTCCTGTTATTTTATTATGAGAACTATTTTGCTTAAAGTACTTGTACTCTTACTTGTTACTTTTTAAAAGTGTATGGTGGTTGTATATATGTAGAAAATCATCCATTTGAAATATTCTGCACTTAAATACCGATTCAGAATAATTAATATCCTTAACTATGATAAATTATTATTTATTTGCAATAAGAAACAATTACATATACGGATTATATAAGTTTTTAAATTGCTATAAAAACACATTGTGTTTATATTATACTATATTAATATTGATACATCATTTGTGTTTTAAAATGCTATGTAATTTGTAAAAAGAGAAAATTTTAACAAATTTGACAGATACATTCTTCATCTTTATTTCAATCATATGATTTAAAATCATGCATTACACTATGAGCAATAATAACAAATGATTCAAAGAAAGTAATCAAGCTCTAACAAATAACAATACAATTGCGTTACGCCTAAAGTAATTCCAAGATAAAACGTTACACTATGAATAAAAATTGAGCATAAAACAATCCCTATTTGTTTCTGCGTTTTAATGGTGACACAATAGAAATGTTCATTCTGTTTCAGTTATGCTCTGTATTTTAGGCTTAACAGTCGATTCTCATTTGTTACAATAACCAAGATGTTATCTCAAAATTAAGAGGTTTTTCAATTATTTATATATATATATATATATATATATAAATAATTGAAAAACCTCTTAATTTTGAGATAACATCTTGGTTATTGTAACAAATGAGAATCGACTGTTAAGCCTAAAATACAGAGCATAACTGAAACAGAATGAACATTTCTATTGTGTCACCATTAAAACGCAGAAACAAATAGGGATTGTTTTATGCTCAATTTTTATTCATAGTGTAACGTTTTATCTTGGAATTACTTTAGGCGTAACGCAATTGTATTGTTATTTGTTAGAGCTTGATTACTTTCTTTGAATCATTTGTTATTATTGCTCATAGTGTAATGCATGATTTTAAATCATATGATTGAAATAAAGATGAAGAATGTATCTGTCAAATTTGTTAAAATTTTCTCTTTTTACAAATTACATAGCATTTTAAAACACAAATGATGTATCAATATTAATATAGTATAATATAAACACAATGTGTTTTTATAGCAATTTAAAAACTTATATAATCCGTATATGTAATTGTTTCTTATTGCAAATAAATAATAATTTATCATAGTTAAGGATATTAATTATTCTGAATCGGTATTTAAGTGCAGAATATTTCAAATGGATGATTTTCTACATATATACAACCACCATACACTTTTAAAAAGTAACAAGTAAGAGTACAAGTACTTTAAGCAAAATAGTTCTCATAATAAAATAACAGGAAAATTTTTAAAAAAATGTCCGAAAAAAGTAATATTTTCTTTTGATATTTTCGTTACAAACATTTGAACTTTTTCTAAATAAAAGTAACGAAAAAGAAGTGAAAATACTAAATTTAAGAAAATAATGAAGTACAAGTAAAAGTATGTACTTTTTACTTGTACCGTCGTTACAAGTAGCAAAAGTAAAAGTATTCTCATGTATTGCCACCACCANTATATATATATATTCATATCGGAAGTTTCATATAAATAAATAGAATGTACCCATTATGTACATATAAAAAATTGATCTGTGTTCTTTGTGATTTGAAATAGCTTAAATTATTTTAAAATGAATGAATTGTTATCCATTCTTCAATCAAAACTTTAGAAACCCACTTCTTTTCAGACGATGATTTTTCATATCATTCGTGAAAAGTTTTAGTTTTAATTAATTTGCATAGAAGATGCAATCGCACACAATGCAAGAAAATAATTATTAACATTTTAAGAAATTTACTTATTCAACAGACATATGAGTAAGATACTCTTCTTCAAGTTTTTAAATTTAAGAAAAGGAAGAAACCATAATTCATCTTGAATAAAGCAAACCAAGGCAAATGAAGTACAAATAAATATTTTAAAAAATGGGCGCATGCTATTGCTACAAAGTGTAGCCTATCTTTATTTGGATAATGCATTTTGTTTAAAACGTAACTGTATTCTGTACTTTTCTTGCCCTAATTTATTGCATTCAGTATCATATTTAAAACAAAATTATCTCGCAACTTTGATATAATGGTCATATTTATAAAGTCATGTTAAAATTTTTGCTGATTAATTTATATAAGTTCTCGCTAATTACGTTCTTTTTTAAACTCATTTTTTTGCAAATTTGTAAAAGTTTTATTTTTAAATGAGCTTATTGCATATAAGTAGTGCTCTGAAAAATATCTTATCCGTATAATAATGCAAAATGTAACTGATTCGTTGTTAAAATGTAACAATGTCTATTTAAATGAATTTAATTTTATATACAATTTTGAAGTATTACGATATAATTCTGAAATTACACATATCCCATAAAATGAGGCAAAATATATGTTTTATATTTTTTCCCTAAGATAATACTTTTCTATTTCTGTTAGTTCTATCTCGAAAGTTTTTTCTTCCTAGTTTTCCTAATTATGAATATTTCTCTTATACTATACGCGTAAAACAATTTATCACAACATAAAAAATTCATATTTAGTTTTTTTTAATTATAATAATTGTGATAATATTTTGTATTCAGCATACAGCAGCTCAGAATAAGTTCTAAAAAGTACTTAAATTATTAATTTTTTTTTAAAGAGCGCCTCAAACGCCTTAGTTAACATTGCTATAAAAACGATAGTTTTTTAAACAATTTTAAAATTATTTTTTGCTTTTTTTAGTTTAGAATATTTGAGAGAAAATACCATGAATTCTACTCAAAATAATTTGCTATATTGAAATTTCTGGATTATGACAGCAATGAAATTGTTTATCACACTTGAAACGAAGCTAAAGCACTAATCAATCACTCAATTCATTCTGATAACCAATCAATAACCCCTCATAAAAACTATTGATGTGGAAAAAGAAGAGTCAAATACAATATAATACCAAGTTGGCGATTATTTCAATCGCGCCAATCTCACGCCAAAAACCTTGTTTCCACTTAGCAACTCCATCGCTGATGCTAAAGATCGACACTACGAATCTTTCTCACTCGAATCGAGCACCACAGATTGACTGGGCCGGTGTCAATAGCATCAAAATAATAGCTGCAATAAATAATGTAGCGAATTTCCCATCTTCTTCAATTTCATCTTCGATCGAATTTTTCTTTTTTTATATTTTTAAAGGGATTTACTTGCGATTGCAGTGTTTATTGTTTTGTTATTTTGACTGTCATGCTGAGTTTGACAGAAATACTGTTTTCTTAGTGACTTAGGTTTGTTTACATTGTTTATTGTTTTGGTGCAGTAGTTTGAAAGATGGGCATGATGCGGAGTTGCGCTAGGCATAGTGTGTGTTTCTTGTCTTTCACTATGTGGGTAAGTTGATTATTTTTTTTAGATAATTACTGACAAATTTAGATCCTATTATTCTTAATAAGTTGATAGCGATTACGACGAAGTGACGACAGGTTTGAAGCAGTTTGTTTAATGATTTAAATAGTAATGGTAATATTTTGTTAAAAATAAAACGGATAGTATTTATTTTTTTTAACATTTTTTGAAGAGAACTTTTAATTTAATTTTTTGTGGATCATCAGGAAACTTGGATATGGATTTATTTTAAATTGTTTGGTGTTTGATATAGTTTTTTTTTCTAAAATCTCTGGATTATGAGTTATTTATTGTTCATTTATACGTAGTTAATTATTATTGAGATAATAGTTTACTTTGACATACTTTACATAGTTACTTGTTTGAATTTGGATTTTGAACAGGATATAATGGAAAGTTTGAAAAGTTAAGTAAACTGAAATGTCAAATAACTAACTAAACTGAAAAGTTAACTCATTAAATTTGTTGAAAAATTAAGTTATTAAGTAAACTGAAACTAAAAAAATTTTTTTGTTTAATGAAAAATCATTCAATTAATTTGTTTGAATTTAAGTTTCGAATAGGATATAATGGAAAATCTGAAAAGTAAAAAAATAAAAAAACTGAAAAGTTAAATAACTAAATAAACTGAAACCTTCAAACGAAACTAATATAGTTTAGTTTACAGGAAACAGTAAATTTACTTAATTTTTTTTTAAATTTTGCACTCCTTAATTCAGAGAATATATGAATGAAAGTTTGTTTTAAATTATTTAACGTAAAATATCGATTTTTCAGCAAAATTGGAAATTTATTTATGCTATAAATTATTGTTGAGATACTATTACAATTAATAACAATAATTGAGATAATGTCTATTTAATATAGTCTTCATATATTTTATTTACTACATCATATACTTGAATTTTACTACGCCATTTGTATGGGTTTAAAAATTAAATTATTAAATAATCTGAGAAATGAAATAAAAATTAAATAAGAATTTTTTATTCATTTTTTTTTTGTATTTTTTATTATATGAAACTAATACTCATTCAATTTTCAAAAACTGACAGCAATTAATTTTTCCTTTTTACAACTTAGCACTTTTTTGTACTCTTATGGAATTATTTCAACATTAAAGACCATTAACAATATTTAAAATCATTTAAGTACATTTACTTACTTCCTTAAGCAGCTATCACTTAAGAGGGCAACATTATTTTAAAAAGTATTAATGTAACTGATTGTTTAAATTAATTTTATCTAAAAAAACTTATTTTTAATGCTAATGCTCTGTAAGATAAGAAAAAATTCCAAATCAAAATTTTAAAAGCTTTCATATGCATTTTCTTTAAATGTTACAAATTTATGATACAACTTGTCCGTAATCAGCATTATGTAAATTAAATAGAACTTTATCAATTATATATTTTAATTTTATTTAAATCTATTTATGGGAGTGATCATAAAATATAATGAGAATCTAAAACAACTTTATGGGGATAAGCCAAAGCTTCTCAAACCGTGTCTGCCTATACCGCAGTTACACGCAAAAATCGCACTTAATTTACCAAATGTAATGATTTTCTAAAATAGCGCATTTTTAAAGAGGCCTTAAAAGACAACAGTTTGAGTTTAATATGTGTTCAAAATGCAACTTAGCGTCATTCAAAAAGTCATTTACGAAAACCAATTTTCTTCAAAATTGAGCATGGGAATGCTTTTATCTTCAAACCTAAAATGTCATGGTCATGGGTTTTTATATAAAAAATAGTTAAAAAAAGAAACATAACTGGGCTTAGGTATATTGAAATGAAAACGTTCTCATAAATTGTATACATTTCCCAAAAATATTTGGCATTATGCATAATATGAAATTCCTCCCCCAACATAATTTTTATATATTTCTTTCTCTTAAAATAAGTGCTTCATACTCTGTTCAAAATTTCTAGACGAGAATAGTTAAATAGCAATTCAACCAAAACAGTTAAGTTACCACAAAAAAAAGATGTTCAAACTGTTGAGTGTGAGAAAAAACGTTTATTGATTGTTTTTACCTAATATAGTTTAACAACAAGAATTCCATTAACGTCAAATTAAAATGCCATTTTTTCCGTTCTGTCATTTTTTCCATACTGTAGCTGAGAGGGCAAATCTGTCAATCTCATGACAGGCTGAACAGGGGTTCGGATTCCAACATTGATACCGCAATATTTCTTCCATTCCTTTTACACGTATGGAGTTTCTAGTGTACTGCACTCTACAATCGGTGAACCTAGACTATTAGAATATGAAACTTTCATTCACACATAAATGGTGCTGCACCCACAGAGCTCCAAAGTCCGTTTAAGTTTTATTTTTATGGTTTAGAACCCATGCTAGTTGTAAATTGTTACAAAATCGTATAGTTTTGTATTCAAGGTTTTTTAACGGTACCAGTTGCAAATGACTTCAAAACCGTAAACGTTAAGAAATATTTCCAACCCAAAACTTAAAGGTTGATCAGACGGATGGACTGCTGACAATTATCTTATCGTAATTTCAGAATAAAAATTCTAATAATGTACAAAAAGAAAAAAATTCTGGCAAAATTACCGTACTGAATGGTAATGCCATTTCTTATAAAAAAACATAATTCTGTTAATAAAACGATACACGATATTAAAATCATTCATTTGGTAATTTTCCTATACACATGGTAACGATTTACCGGAAATTCTAGTTTTCAATATTTTTTTACTTCCACACATTTAATAAAAAATAAATATAACCGAATAAATAGTTTTTATGCCATGCTAAGATATCATGATAAAATTAACTAATTTTATCACATTTTCTAAATTTTATCAAAAATTATAAAGCCATATATTTTTACTAATTTTACCAAACATTTGTCATCAAGGCGCTTTGGTAAAAACTATCATGCTTTTTATTGTTCCCATAGAGTCAAAAACATGGCAAATTTTAACATATTCTGATAGTTTCAATCATACTTTTTTTCTCTAAGTCAAAAAATTCCACTTCATGTTCTACTGAAAGGTTTCATACACTATGGATTAAGATTTAATATTTTCAGTTCTTTGTAATATTTTCAATGATTTTAGCCGTAGAAATTGATTGTAATAATAAAATTATAATTAAAATTACAATCATGCTTAGATTTTAAGAATTGATCATTCATATCATTCATCTATGCTCTTTAACTTTTTTTTTTTGTATCAACTATCAAAATGTAAATTACTTGAGTTAATAAAACTGTTTTACTTTCATACGTCAAAGAAAAGTAGAAATTTTTCAGCTGTGTCTGCTTTTGCTGTTGAATTTACGTCAGACGATGTTCTCGCCATTGGAAAATTTTTGAATTCTGTATTGTATGACATATCAGAGGCAAATGTAATTATTCATCAGTAAAAATTTAATAGTATTTTAATGAAGATGAAATAAATTAATAAAAAATATATTATTGATGATTTTAAAGTAGCTGGTATCTTAATTAATGAAACAAACTCGTAAATTAATATTTTTTATTTGTTAAAATAAAAAGTGATATGAAAATAGTAGAATTTTTGGAAATCTATTAACAAAAATCATTGGATTAAGAACGATAAAATTTGGTAACCAAGCAATGGAAATACACCTACAAATTTGATTATTGCCGTATAACCTTACACTGCAAAAAAATCCGGACCAACTTATGGTAAAAAATACCGGCACTTAGTGTGCGAGTACTTTTTACAGTAAAATTTATTTTTACTGGACCTTGTTACGGAAATCTGATGTACCATAATTTTTACGGTAATAATTACCGTATATTCTCGGAAGCACTCAAATTAAAGTAAATATTACTGTAAATATTACGGTATCATACTTAACACTAAAAGCGGATTTTGCGTATGATTCATTGTACCGTAATTTACCGTAATTTGATCCGGAAATGTTTACTGTGTACAACTTAGGAAAAAAGCAATAAAAAATAATAGTTTTAAGAAAAGTGGGACAAATTCAATTTTTTTTCTAAAACAAAAAATTAATTTAAAACGTCTCTTGTTATTTTCAGTTCGTTTGCTCTTAAAAATAAGTTATAGAAAAAACAAACATATTACACATTTATTTATGATATTGTTCTTGTAAATAAATTCAGGATAATAAGGATTAATAACAACTCCTCGCAAAAAATAATTAACCATTACGGAATTTAGTGTGCTAACAATTTTGCTAACTATATTTAGACAATTTCTTAAAAAAAAAATCAAATTGCTGTTTTCTCATTTAAAAACTAAACGATGTTTGATAAAATCGTCAATTATTAAAACTATATAAGCGCTATTACTCGCTAACTTTTAAGAAACTTAATATAGTTTAACCAGCTGTTTAGTTTAGTATATTTATCTAAATTTATTCCTCCCTTTGGTATAAAATGCCGAAATATTTCCCAAATCCGAAAAGCAATCTTTGAAAACTCGTTAATGTATCTATAGAACATCTTGCAAGCAAGCGAACGTCAGCTTTATTTATTACTTCATTAGCATTTTTCATTACCACTTTTAAAAGCGCTGGTCATTAAAGAGACGAAGCGTAACGACCGAAACTAACTACTGTCGTCATTAACTGAAATGAAATGAAAAAGACGGCGATTAAATTTAATCTCACCCCCTTAGAAAATGAACAACACCGTTGTTTAAAAAGATATCTAGTGTACTAGTTTGATAAATTGGCGAAAAGTTAGCTCATTTTCTTGCTGAAAAAAATGCTTGTTTTTTGTTGGGCTATTATTTTGTTTTGTTTGTTTTAGTATGTGATAAATTTATGCAGTGTTTTTTGCCTTATTTTATTTTACGTCTGTAAACAAGAAAATTTTTGTTTGTTTTTTGTTTGAGGAAAAAAAAATTAGTCACAAAAAATGTTGCTAAATTAACACTCGATTACATAATGTCATTGGCCTTTGATTATTAAGATTTTAACAAATATTTTGTTGAACCAAAATAATCAGTTGATAATTTAAA